CCAAAAAAAAAAAAAAAAAAAAAAAAAAAAAAAATAGAATCCTCCTTCCAATGCAGGGGATGTGGGTTCGATCCTGATCGGGGAACTAAGATCCCACATGCCAAGGGGCAACTAAGCCAGCGTGCCACAACTACTGAGCTGGAGCGCTCTAGAGCCCGCGCCACAATTAGAGAGCCCACTAGCCACAGTGAAAGATCCCACATGTGCAACTAAGACCCAATGCAGCCAAATAAATAAATATATAAAGTGGGACAGGGAGTCTGCACAGGAAGGCAGCTGAAAGGCTTGACGCTTTCCTGTCATGTCCTAGTTTTCAAAAGATTGTGTTGGCATCATCCATGCAGTGGTGACCAGTTAATTTCTTTTTCAGCATCTCTGTGAACTCAGGGACTTAAATGTATGGAATGTGTTCCATACGTTTGGCTGTTCGCGGGGCTCACATTGTCCCGTTGTCACAGTGGGAACCTCTGTAGGTTCGACTGAGCCTTTTGACCTGACCCCAGTAGTCCTGCCAGCTTCCTGCTGCCTGCAGAGGGACCCGAGTCCTGGACTGAGCTATTTCTCCTCCAGGGAACACTGGTTCCTTTTAGTGGCTCCTAGAGATCAAATATATTGCAGGATGTTGTAGATGGGACCTGTCATATCAGAGAGGAATCAGAAGCAAGTAATAACAGCTTCTCTAATTTGCCAAAGAAGACCCAACCATCAGCTACTGAGTGAGGCTTTGAATGGGTGTTTCCAGAAGCTGCATAGGTGTCCGGTTCTGCTGGCTGGTTGGGGAGTTGGGAAAGGAAAAGGAAACTCTGGAAGAGCCTTTTGGGGAAGGAAGAGCTGAATGACCTAATGCCAGCTTGTTGCATAATGTAGATGCTCACATGTACTCAGGATGGAGCCCAGAGATGAGCGCTTTGGGGGTGTCACCAGGCTCCGTGTGGCCACTCCAAGGACGGAGGATGCATCGCCCCTCGGGACCAGCTGTTCCTTCACCGCTCTCGGAACTGGGGGAGAGCTCTTGGTCCCGTCGCTACGCGTTAAATATGGGCCTCTGCTTATTTTCCTAAAGAGTCAAACCTTTTGGGATCAGGTTGACCTTTTGCTTCAGTCTCTTGCCATTTATGAAATACTGTGCCTCATGATGGGAGAAGTTAATATGCATGAGTTCTACTAAAATATTGAGCTAAAATAATTTTGAGAAAATGTAAGTTGATTACAGTTTATACTGATAACAGCTCACTCACACAGCAGTCTTAATTCTCTAGAATTCAAAATTGGTTTCAGGTTGATGTGAAATAAATGTTTTCACATAACTTCGCATTTATTTATAACCGTTTGTTCCAGCTTCTGGTGAAGATTTGCAGTGGCCGTCAGCGGAGGTGTGTTGGGGCCCTAGCGTGTGGATGCCTCACCTTAGCTAACCTGCCTCTCGTAGTGTCCACGCGACCCCCAGATTAGTCGTTTCACTGCTTCCTTATATAGTGTAGTGGCTTTTGAAGTAACTTCAGATAGTGGTTACTTGTTGACATGCTACCCGTTGATGGATGCGGATATTATGACTGTTTCCTCTTGTGTGAGATCATTCCTTTTACTTCTTTGCTCAGATGTAATTGAGATTGACCTCAAGAATGGTGAATGGGTATTTTTAAATGTTTCTAAACCATACAACTTCTGAAAGCTAAGTATACCGAAATGTTTTTTTTTTTCCCCTTTAGATCTCCAGTGCCTATTGGATTTTTACCTTAAAAAGTTCAGAGCGTGAAATTTCTTACACTGTCGATGTAGATCCAGAACAATGATTCAGTAGAAGACCCTACGGATCAGGCGGCGGAGGAGCCTGGCCCTGAAGGATGAACGGAGAGGAGGAGTTCTTCGATGCCGTCACAGGTGAGCGGAGGGAGAGGCGAGTTCAGAGATTGTGTCGTGAGCACAAAGCCCTCAGACCCAGGCCTTGGACGTAGCCCGGGGACGTGAGGACGGCCCAGGAAAACTGTGTGGAGAGAGAGCTGACATGTTCCCAGGCAGCAGCCTTCAGTAAAAGCACGTGTCCTATCCTAGGTTTGGGGGAAAACATCAACTTTGGACACTAAAGATAACAAGAAAGGGCGACTGTGTTTTAGTCTTTAAGAGTTGCCCTGGGGTGTAAATATTTTTATTTGGATCCCAAGTGAGATGGTCAGCATTCTTGTATTATTTCTACTTAATGATCAAAAGTGTATTGTCCTGTGTCATAACTGTATCGTGTTTTGCACTGCTTAAAGCCTACCAAAAACTAGTACATTTACCTGCTTTCCCAGCAGCTCTCACTGTGTCAGAGTTCAGCTCTGTTTTGCTTCTCACACACCACTGTGAGTGCTGGCACACAGCCTGGTGGGCAGAGTGCATGGCGGGCGGCAGGGGCAGGAGAGGCGGGCTGGGTTGGCTCACATTTGCTTAGAACAACCCCTCCTCGTCCTTTTCCCACCTGAGGGACAGATGACCACAGGGGGCCCCAGAACTCAAGTTCAAGACG